CAAATATCATAGGTCCTCACTGATATGTGGATGCTAAGCTGTGAGGATGCAAAGGCATTAAGAATGACACAGTGGAGTCTGGGGACTCAGGGGGAAAGGCTGGGAAAGGCTGGGAAAGGTATGAAGGAAAGACTACAAATTGGGTGCAGGGTATGCTCCTCATGTGATGGGTGCATCAAAATCTCACAAATCACCACTAAAGAACTTATGTAACCAAACACCACCTGTCCCCCAACAACCTATAGAAATAAAAAATTTCTAAAAATAAATAAATAATGGTTGATTGTATGTTATGTGAATTTCACTTCAATTTGAAAAAAACACAAACATTGACTTCTTTTTTAAAAAAATGATTTCGTTATAAAGGAAAGAAAAGATAGTAGCTAGAGAGGGCAACATGGTTGCGGAAAGGTATTTCCTCAAAATGTGGCAGAGAAATAAGTACTTTAAATGACAGCAAAGTGCCAAGAAAGCAAATGAGAGATTGAAGTGAAGGAATACTGTTAAAGTAAGATACATAAGGTACAGAGACAGGATCCACAATAAAGTGAATGCTTCAAGGAACAGCAAAGTCCACAGTGTAGCCATAAATGGATTGGCTGAAATGGAATAGAAATAAAGATGACAGAGTTAAAAATCAAGGAATTGTGTTGCCAGAGAGTTGTAAAAGAATTCTTATGGACACTGAAATGACCTATGATGGATGAACTTCAATTGGAAAAAAAAAGCCTGCGAACCAGGTAACAAAATGTGCAGTCACCATGGGGGAAAGACCACAAAATCAATAGATGATGGCTATCGGGGGACCATAAAAGCTTATATAGTCAGGTTACACGAGCTTCAAAAAATAAGAGATATTTCTGAATACGGAAGAGTAATTGTCTAGTGTCAGTCCAATTAGAAGACCATTTATTATAACATTCAAGCAATGACTTCACCAATGACAGTGATGATAAGCATAGACTTCAGCCAAGTTAAGAGAGAGGTGATATCTCTCTTGCAGGCCTCCTAATCTCCATTTCTAACTAATTGATTTTTTAAATCAATTAATAGAGATTGATTATTCTTAATAGTCTATCAACACAACTGTACTATTTCGGTAATATTCAGCACTTAAAATTCCAATGATCACATGTCAAGTTTCTACAATTACTTCATCCACCAAATCCCAGATGGTAAACAGAGCACATTGATAGCCAGATCAAATGGCCAACAAGTAAATAAAAAATCCTATCTAAATGTAAACAAAATAAAGAAAAAACTTTGTCCTGTAAAAGTATAGAAATTCTCTAGATCCCAGAAAAGTTCTGCTAGATACGTAGGTAGGTGCTGGTGTGCAATCAAAGAAAGCTACAGTGGAAAAAAAAATAATTCTGAAGCCCTTCATCACAATTAGACATTCAAATCAAAACAGCTGCCTCATATCTTTAAATCTAATTACACTAACACAGACTTTTTAGAAAAACAAAGATAAACTACAAGATGAAATTATTTTAAAAGTTGATATAAAATGCCACAGTCAAGAGTAATAATATATCACTTCCTGATCAGGTCACCTAAATCTATGGGCTGTTAGGACTGAAAATTTTTTCTTATTAATATTGGAAATCAGTGGCTTATACTTGGAATTCCAGCAATTTGGGAGCCCAAGGCAGGAGGATCACTTGAGGCCAGGAGTTTGAGGCCAGCCTGGACAACACAGCAAGACTCAGTATCAAAAACAGAAGCAAAACAAAAAGGGACTTACTTGGTTTCTGACTTACAATGTTTAAGAATAGAATCTGTGCTTACAGGAAACAGAAAACTAACTCTGAATTAAAATATACAAATATACAAATATTTTCACTTTTTTGTTTAAAATCTAGCTAAATCTGTAGGTACACAAGATAAAAACACCTTAGGTTTTCAAAAAAGAAGATTTTTATAGTCTTAAAAAACCACGCCAACAATTATAAGGTTATGACAGTAAAGAAAGAAAATTAAACGTAAATGATTTTAAAAGAAGTTAAGCTAAAAAGGAGAATGGTGGTAAGAATATATACATAAAAATAAGTTTCATCTAGAGTGAAACTACAAACTATTTCTCCTATTAGACAATAATCTCAGATATTTAGGTTCAAAAGATGTTTTTCAAATTTTTTATGAAAAATAAGTATTACTTCTACAAACAGCCTTACAAATAGTTACATTTATTAGATTAAAAGATTTTTTAATGTTTATGTTCAGGTGGTACAAAAACCATAATAAATAGGTAGTTTAAAAACAAATTTATTACTCTCTTTAGGTTGTGGAAGAATTTTTGCAAGATTTAATTCAATGATCAAAGCAGCACATTAATCATATAACTTTTTTTTTTTAACTATATAGCAAGTCTTGTCCTAATTTGCAGATGAGGCCTAAAGAGGCTGAACAAATAAGAATATGAAAAAGGGGAGGAGTACATAGTTAAGTGGAAGTTACTGGTAATGTTTTAGCCTTTGAGCTATGTTAACAAATATTTATGAGATTAGGGTTGACATGATGTATCATGAATCAAACTGTGTATCTGAAATCAAAAACAGAATAAACAGTTTATAAGTAATAACTCTATGGGATTTAAAAGTGAGGGGAATGACTGACATAGATATGTCTCTCAGAGTATATAGGAACTCGTAGACAACAACTTCATGAGTGAAGTTTCAATATATTTTTTAAAATTCAGAATAAACATCAAGAGGGACTTCATTTTATCTAACACAACAACCTGGTCACCCTCTCATTCTAAAAATCTCTATAAGTAAAACTGATTATAAAGATATGTTAAGGCAGTATATAAAAACCATGATCACCAGATTTACAATCATTATGAATCTCTTTTTCTAAGTGTCCTTCACTGAAATTATATAAATATTTCAGCAATGCTTTTCAGTGCAGTACAAAGTAGACAACCAACAAATGTTGGTAGAATTAAATTGACCGTTACAAACAAGGCATGCCTTTTATCAAGGCATTTAACAATACCTTGTTTTTGGAATGATCTTATCTGAATTAAGCCTCATATTCCCACCTTTTAATCATACTTTAATACATTCCTATATACAATAGAATTTTTTTTAACAGATTCTTATCTTGGGGTACCTATAACTCTAAAAGACCCCTTCACTTAACCTACCATTCCATTCCCAATTTCATTTAGAAAATAAGTCTTTACTTCATGGTGATTCTACAATGTAATAACTTAAAATAATTTGAATATAAACTTACTCAGTTTTACCAGTACATGCATAATTTTCAGCTTAATTACATACTATACTAATCAAAGCTTAAAAGAGGAAAATAAACTGTTTTAAAATCTGTTTCATCTACAATGTTTAATTTAATTCAAATCACTAGCATAAACCCAACCATTACTCTCCAAGGGTATACACTGCTAAATAAGTTGTCCAAATGTCAACTGCAATTTTCAAAAATCCTCTCTAACTCAAAATTTTAAACATCTGTAAAAAATACTTGTTTTGAGAGTGGTTTACATTCATGACATTTAACCTTTTGCTGTACACACCACAAAATTCAAGTCTCAAATACCATGCAAACAGGAAATCTGATCATTCCTGCAGTAGCCATCTGCATGGTCCGGTACCAAATATTAGTTCTAGGTTGCACTAAGTCATGTGTTACAAATCTTTTTCTGCAGCCTCTATAATTAGTTGTAATTAGCCTCTGTTAAAATGTGTTTCTTATGGGACATCTGGCCTTCAAACTTCCACCTTCTCAATGAAAAAATACTTAAGTGTCTGGAAATTTTTTTCTCTTTTAATATGGAACACTGCATGGGTGGTATAACCAAGTCCAGACTTGAAAAACAAAATAAATTCCAAGAAAAGATAATTAAGGACCATTTAAGTATTACCAACCATAAATGTAAAGCAAAACTTTGTTGCAATGTAACTATAGATTGCTAAATTAATTTCTCAAATATTAAAAGTTCACAAAATAACTTTTCATTTTCATGAGACTATAGCATTGGTCTATTAACTTCTAGAAACTGTATTAAGTTAAATTGGATAATACATGTTTAGAATCAAAGATTTCATAAATAGAAAAAAAAGATCTGAATCCAATGGGTTGATATGATACTCAAAGTATCCACTTAAAATAGGAAATAATTTTAACAGTTCATAAATAACCCTAACTTCTCTAAGATTAAAGTTAAATTTAGAATATGTTAAACTTACCTACACATTCATATGAAGTCATTTTAACAATAACTTATCAGTTTAGTTGATTATAGCCAATCTTCCTTAAAACTCAAAGTTAAATGTTAAATGGGTGATAAAGAAAAACTAATAAAAATGAATGACAGACACACTACTCTTCTGCAATATGAAAGTGGAAACGATCTTCACAATAAGCTATGGTCCTATTTTGCTTTCCTAGATTAGAAAACTCTTGGTAGAAACTCTTTAAAACCAGTATTACACATTTGCAAAAAAACACTAGCAAGAAATGTTAAGATGGGTCTGAGAAGAAATAAATTTGAAAAAAAAAAAAAACATTTTTTTATATCTAAACTTCAAAAACAATTTTAAAATTTTGGTATAAATGTATTTTCATCTTCCCAAAAAATTACTAGAGAAATTCCCTTCAGATTTAGAAAAATTATGTAAAGAAAAAATTCATACAGGTCCTTTGCAAAAATTCAAAAATGTTAATGTAAAAAATGGACACAATTAGCAATTAGGTTCTACTTTCATTGTAGATATAAGTAATAAGCAATCTGCATCGTCCCTGGTAAAGCTACGATAAAGTAAGTAAAATCTGTATGAAAACATCCTTTACATATTTTATTCAAATTTTAAAATACCCTTTGCAAATAGTCATGTCACTTAAATAGGCATATAATGATTAAGTATACAAGCTAAGATTTGTTTATGTAACAGTTGACATATTCAAAAAAGTAAAGAAATGTCGAATACTACTAAATTTGTTAACATAAACAACTTGATTCAATAATTTCTTACCTGTATTCCATCCTTAAGTTTCAAAATGCATTCCATAGTGTTGATGGTAATTACCACAGGTTCTGAGCCCAGTTTTGTCCATGGTACATGAATCCTCAATTCGTGAATATGTCCACTTAAAAAGGTGAATGGTAATTTCAGTTCCTTAAAACAGAAAACATTACATAAAAGTTAGTGAGTGCTTAATATTTTTATTATAATATGAAAATTCCTTTCTTAAAAAATAAAATTTCCAACACAAGAATATTTGGGGAATTACTGTTAAGTGCTCAATATTTTACATTCTAATATGCAAATTCCTTTCTTAAAAGATAAATAAAATGTCCAACACAAAAATATTTTCAGAATTACTATTTATCAAAAGGTAGCAACAAACAACTTGCTAGGCCATATTTAATGATAAATAACAATAATTTATGGTACAAGTTAACATTTAGTAAGTTATTTAAGCACTCTAGGCCTGTTTCCTACCTTGCTGAATGGAAATAATATATAATACCCAGGAAATGATGAAGGCTCATATATGGTAGTGACAAGAGTATATAGCAGCAGTACTGGAGACAACTGAAAGGACATAATTTTTTAAATCTGTCTATAAATATGGCTTCAAAATATGTTCTAAACTAATAAAATAGTATTCTAAGTCAAGTTGGAAGGGGAGCTCAACTGGAGATTTGAGAATAACCTCACAAAATGAAAACTAATCAACCTAAAAAAAAAATCTATTCCACTTCACCTAATGTAAAATTGAACTGGATACTACTTGGTCATAAATTTTAAATGTTTTCTAGCTGCTTTACGTTGTCATTAGATAAAAGGTTAGACATGAAAAATTTCACCAAAATTGCTTTTGCTTATTTCTCTCACTTCTAGATACAATTTGTTTACAAATCAACACAGGACAAAGAAAAAATTGTATTCCCATCACATTTTTACGGTTATGTAACTCTATTTGTGAAAGTTAATATAAACATTAAGCTTATTCATTCACATTTTAGCCTATCCAGTTGGTTTAACAACATAATAGCAATATACCTAAATACAGACAGTATAGCAAAGTGATTAAGACCAATAACTCTGGTGCCAGAAGACATAGTTTATTGTATCTGTGCCTCAGTTTCATTATCTGTAAAATTTGTATAAAAATATTCCATTTTAAATATTAGATCAATTAATGTATATACAGAGCTTAGAATACTACCTTCCTCACAGAGAAATCATTATAAAGGTGCTGATTATTATTATTATTATTATTACAAAAGTGTGGCCCTAATTTCTTTCTTCAACCAGAGAATTTTTTTTTTTTACAGGTCAGCTACTAAGTCTATTGTTAATACTCTATGCTAATGGAATGTCACACTTTTTAGATATTTGTCATTATTGCAGTATTTTTAAATGCATTAATTTCTTCAAGCATTGTTCAACTAGCACAGATTATATATTGATTAGTGCCTGTAATTAACAGAGAAATTCGGAGAACGAGATAGCCCAACAGGGTCTTGCCAGGGTCTCACATATATTTTACTGTTAGTCTCGAAAGTTGTATGCATGTGCAAGATTGTACTTACTCAGAAGACAATAGACAGTGCAGTAATTAGCAAGCTACTCATTTATATTAACCATGTGGCCTCATAAACATAGAAATTTAAAGAAAATCAGACTTATAATTCCCTGACTTTGAAAGTATTACCCAGTAAATGTATATATCCCATGCCAAAGAGTAAATACCTTATTAGCTCAAAAGTTTAAACAATCTCCAAACAATCACTGGCTGATGACTAAGTTATAGTAACCCAGTGAAATTTCTAGGATGCTGGGCTTAAAAATAAAACAGGGAATTTTTTTTAACGAGCAGAGAAATCACAGGGCACACAAAACAGACATCACAAAATTAGTCGAGGCAAGTCAATAAACAAATAAACCTGAAACAACAACCACCTCTGGGGGAAAAGAAATCAGAATCCAAAGTTGCTGCTATGTATTGTACAAAATGTCCAATTTACAACAAACAACTATGACACATGCAAAGTATACGGGAAAAAAAATAATCAATGGAAACTATCTCTGAAGGAGATCAAATGCAAGGCTTGAAACATAAAGATTTCAAAACATCTATTCCAAATATGTTCAAAGAAATAAGGGAAATCATATTCAAATAAAAGAACATATGACAACAGTGATTCATTAATTAGAAAATGTCAATAAAAAGAAAATACCAAAAAAATGAAAATTTTGGAGTTTACAGTACAATCAACTAAATAAAAAATTCACTGAAAGGGCTCAGCAGCAGATCTGAGTTGGCAAAAGAATCAGTGAATACAAAATCAAATGCATCACAGCCAAAATGTAGAAAGACAGGGATCAAGAAAAAAATCTTGAGAGCAGAAAGACAAAAACAATTTTTAGGTACAAGGAAACTTTTAGTAGATTAACACCTAATTTCTCCAAGAATTTTATATCCAGCAAAATTATCCTTCAATAATGCAAGCAAATTAAAATATACTGAAACAAAGAATAAGATAATTGATTCCTAGCAGAATATTAATGGAAGTTCATTAGGCTGAAAGAAAGTAACAACAGATGATAAAACAAATACATAAAACAAAACAATCAATACAGGTAATTATGTTGGTAACTGTTAAAGGACAGTATAAATGCTTTTTTTCTCTTGTTCTTCTGATTTAAAAGGAAATTGCATAAAACAATAATGATAAAATTGTATAGTTGGACTTGTAACACATAAAGATGCAATATATGTGACAATAACAGCACAAGAAGCAGAAGAAAATGAAGCTATAGTAGGGAAATTTTCTCTATTTTAATGGAATAAAGTTATCAATAATCTCAAGTAGTTTGCAGTAAATCAGATGCATATTATAATCCCCCAAGCCACCACAAAGAAAATAATTCAAAAGTAATTTGAAAATCAATAAAGGAATTAAAATAGAACATAAAAAATATCAATTTATTATAAAATAAATTATAAGAATATCAGAGGAACAAAAAAATATGAGGCACACAGAAAAAATAGCAAAATTATAAATGTAAATCCAATCACATGAATACAAATTAGAGGTGAAGAGATTAAAAACTTCAATCAAAATGGTACCCAATGCTCATCTCCTCCACAAAGAAAAACCAAAACAAGTAGAGACACTGAGTTGAGTGTCTACAGGAAAACAATGGAATTCATCAGGAAGTGATGAAGATCTAAGGCATAGAAACTCCACATGTCAGCATAAAGAGGAAAGGAGAACACCTGGCCAAGATCAGCCTGGATCCAGAAGGGACTTCCCTTTGAGGAGAAAAGTTGAGCAAGACATCCTTAGCAGTTCCCATGACCACTGTGGATACTTGCAATCCTAGCTACAGGGCAACTCCACAGTCCTCACAGGCCCTGAGTCCAGCATAGGGAGCTGCCAGGTCCATAAAGCTGGATTGCTCAGGAGAGAGAATTCACATTTGATCCACTGAATTCCCCAGGATCCAAGCTGCTGCAGCACCGTATCATTTGGAGAATGAAGCAACTGCTAGAGTGCATTCTGCCTTGAGGCCCAATATCCCTAGCATCTCTACATCCCTTGGACCCTGTAATCAGAAAATGGTAGCTGAGAGATGGCAGCCATTTCTCAGGGACTAAAGACAAGCCTGCCTAGCATTCCTCACCCCAAGCAAAGGCACACCACTGCCTCCACAAACACCCACAGTCTAGGCCACTCACAGAAAATGCTGATATTATGGCTGAAGAAATGACAGAAATTACATTACTGCACCCAGTGAGAAAAAAGCCTAAACACCCTACTCAACCAAAACTGCAGGTCAAATCTATAGGAAAAAGTTTTTTTCTTTTTTTTTTTAATTTATTTTATTGCATTTTAGGTTTCGGGGTACATGTGAAGAACAGGCAAGATTGTTGCATAGGTACACACGTGGCAGTGTGATTTGCTGCCTTCCTCCCCGTCACCTACATCAGGCATTTCTCCCCATGTTATCTCTCCCCAACTCCCCACCCCCCACTGACTCTCCCCTATTTCCCCCCAACAGACCCAAGTGTGTAGTGCTCCTTATGCAGCCATCAAAAACGATGAGTTTCTGTCCTTTGTAGGGACATGGATGAACCTGGAAACCATCATTCTCAGCAAACTAAGAGAAGAGCAGAAGATCAAACACCGCATGTTCTCACTCATAGGCGGGTGTTGAACAATGAGAACACATGGACACAGGGAGGGGAACACTAACTATAACTATCATCATGAAAACATGTAGAAGTATGAATCTCCCTGATAAAGCAGATTCATGAATGAGAAAGAAAAATCAAAAATTATCACTACAGAAACTACCAAACTGCAAAGATAAACAGTAAAAGAGTAAGGAAGAATATACATTTAAAAAACAAAAAGCAATTAGCAAAATGACAAGAGAAATTCCTCCCCTATCAATAATCTTGAATGAAATAAATAAAACCCCCAAATTAAAGGCTATAATCCCCAATTAAAAGCTATAAACTGGATGAACAGATTAACAAATAACAAGACCCAGTTGGGCATGGTGGCCCATGCCTGTAATCCTAGCACTTTAGGAGGCTGAGGCAGGCCAGTCACATCATCTGAGGTCAGGAGTTCAAGACCAGCCTGGCCAATGTAGTGAAACCCCGGCACTACAAAGATATGAAAATCACTTGGGCATGATGGCAGGTGCCTGTAATCCCAGCTACTTGGAAGGCTGAGGTGGAAGAATTGCTTGAACCCAGGAGGCAGAGGTGGCAGGGAACTGAGATTGTGCCACTGCACTCTAGGCTGAGTGACAGAGCAATACTCCGTCTTGAAAAATAAAAGACCCAAATATATGCTGCCTATAAGAAACTCACTTCTGTAAACATATACAAAAACTTAAAATGAAAAAATAAAAAAAGTAATAAAAAATGAACAGGAATAGTAATCCTTAAATCAGAAAAAAACATATTTCAAGTCAAAAACTATACAAGGAGACAAAGAAGGTTATTATATAATAATAATAAAGTCGCCGGAGGAGGATCAAAGATGGCCGCTTAGGAACAGCTCAGGAGTGCAGGTCCCAGTGAAAGCACAGAGGGTGAGTGGATGCTGCATTTTTATTACCCACAGACTAGGCAATTCCCAGGCGGA